GGTTACCGCCGTTATTATCGACCCCCCCTCGCCCCGTCTTTCGTTCTTCTTCAAAGCGTGGGGGGGGCAACAAGTGTCGCCATGGCAACCGACCCCATCGCAGGGCCTGTCCCCGCCTTACCCGCTCCGTGTTCCTCTACCCGCGGGCACCCGCTTCGACTTCAGTCCATCCCGGAGGCCGCGCCGAGCCGTCCGCGCTTCCCCCCTGCCTCGCCGGCCACCGTCCTTCCCGTCGCGCGCAAGCGCAGGCGAGGCCGCCCCTTTCCCTCAGCTCCCCCCCCCTCCGGCCTCACGTTCTCATGGAGACGAGGCCGAAAGAGGCTGCTGATTGGCCGCGCTTCTCTCGGCGCGCGGCCCTGTCTCTCCTCTCCTATTGGCCGGGGCGCTGGGCGCGCGGGAGCGGAGAATCCTTGTCAGGCTGGGAGGCGAGGAGGGGGAGACGCGGCTGAGGTAAAGAGCGGAGTGGGGCGCCTAGGGGGGCTCTTGGGCACGGGGTTGCCAGCCTCCAGGCGGGACCTGGAGGGCTCCCGGAACCAGACGTTCTATTGTTGCCAACTCCTGGTCGGGAAATTCCTGGAGACTTTGGGGTGGGGCTTGGAGGGAGTAGGAGGGGCCGCAGCAGGGTGTAAGGTCATAGAGTGCATTTTCCAGAGCAGCTCTTTTCTCCAGGGAGAACATATAACTGTAATCTGGAGATAGATCCAGGCAAGGTCATTTTGTAGATAAAGAGGTGCAGGAGCTCAATAGCACAACTCATTAGCATAACTCATTTGCATAGGCCACACCCCCTGACATCACCGGAAGTGTGTCAGAAGGCAACACCCACCGCTCAGGCTCCACTGGACTGTTTTGGATTGCTAGCTATTTAGGGGTGGGGGCGTGCAGATCTGTCCTCGCAGAGGAGGGAGAGCTGGTACCTGAATAAAACTTGGTCTTAAAGGTGCCACTGGACTGTTTTGGATTGCTAGCTATTGGGGGGGAGAGGAACGTGCAGATCTGACCTCACAGAGGAGATAGAGCTTGTACCTGAATAAAACTTGGTCTTAAAGGTGCCACTGGACTGTTTTGGATTGCTAGCTATTGGGGGGGAGAGGAACGTGCAGATCTGACCTCACAGAGGAGATAGAGCTTGTACCTGAATAAAACTTGGTCTTAAAGGTGCCACTGGACTGTTTTGGATTGCTAGCTATTGGGGGGGGGGACGTGCAGATCTGTCCTTGCAGAGGAGGGAGGGCTTGTACCTGAATAAAACTTGGTCTTAAAAGTGCCACTGGACTGTTTTGGACCAGCGGGGGGGCTCTGCAGCTTACCTGGCTGCTTCTTGCTCTGACTGAGGGCTGCTGGGAGCAGGGGGCAGGGCTTGTTGCATGTGCCCACCCCCTGGGCTCTTTACTGCCGGAGCTCCGCTCCTGTGCGCTCCTGCAGGAAATGACCCCTGTATCCAGGTGGGGCAGCCGTGTTGGTTCCCTTCCTTGAACGCAATGACCTGGCAATGATGATCCACGCATTGGTCACCTCAAGATTGGATTACTGTCATGCCTTCTACATGGGGCTGCCCTTGTTTCAAATCCGGAAGCTGCAGCTGGTGCAGAATGCAGCGGCGAGGCTGTTGTTGTGTCTTCCTATGTGGGAGCACATTCAGCCCGGATACGGTTCAAGGTGATGGTTCTTACCTTTAAAGCCCTATATGGCCAGGGACTTGCTTACCTGAGGGACCGCCTTTCCCCGCATGTACCCCAGCGAGCATTAAGATCGGGTTCCCAGAATCGCCTGGTTCTTGCGGGGCCTAAAGAGGCCAGGTTGGCTACAATGAGGGCCAGGGCCTTTTCTGTGGTGGCCCCTCACTGGTGGAACAAGCTCCCAGAGGACATCAGGGCCCTGTGGGACCTTTCACAGTTCCGCAGGCCCTGTAAAACGGAGCTCTTCCACCAGGCTTTTAAGTAGGTGCCGCCTCGATTGTATGGCCCTGGCCCGATTACCAACTGTGCCAACAATTGTACCATCATTGGCACTGACAGTACCAACGGCACCACCAATTGAGGCTTTATAGCCGGGTGCGAACTTAGGGACACCATTCAGTTGACAGTAATTGGAAGATATGCAATCTTTTAATATAAGCGATGTTTATGATGTACGATTTTATACTGATTGATCGTTTTAACAGAATTTTAATGTGTATTAATGTATGCTGTTAGCTGTCCTGAGCCTGCCGGAAGGCAGGGAGGGCGGGATATAAATGTAAATATAAATAAATAATTCATTCTTTATTTATTTATTTAAATTTCTACCCCACCCTCCCCACGAATGGGCTGAGTGCGGCTAACAAACAGGGGCACCATGTGCCAATACATAAAACCAAATAAAACAGGATAAAACAGAATAAATATCGAAATTACATAAAGTGCTCAATGCTGTTGCTCTTAAATTAAGACAAGATGGTGTCCAGTAGATGTTGCCTCCATCCCCGTACAACGGTACCAATCCGCCGCGCCACTGAACTGCGATCGTCATAGGGCCACTCCATTCCCAGTTATCAGCTGGGTTCGTTGGTGATGGTGGTAGTGGTTGCTCCTAGTCAAAAGCCTGGCGGAAGAGCTCCGTCCCTGCAGAACTGTACAACAAAAGACCAACAAAAGGTTATTCAGATGCTGGAAATGTAATAATCATGTTGGATCACACTATCATATGTGGTGGACATGTAAAAAGGTTCATAAATACTGGATTGAAGTCCATACTCTTTTACCAGCAAAAGGTTATTCAAGGCACAAGCTTTCATATGCACGCACACTTTATTGGTGGAGAACGTGTGGAGAGGGTAGCTACTTTTAAGTTTTTGGGAGTGATCATTGAGCAAAACTTGACCTGGAGTGCTAACACCACTGCTCTGGTGAAGAAGGCCCAGCAGAGGCTCTTTTTTCTCAGACTTTTAAAGAAAAATAACTTGAGTGAGAAAATACTGATGTCCTTCTATCGTTGCTCAATAGAGAGCATTTTAACATACTGCGTCTGTGTCTGGTTTGCCAGTTGTACGGCTGTGGATAGGAAAGCACTCCAGAGAGTTATCATCACAGCCCAGAAGATTATTGGCTGCGTCTCTTATGTTCTTATTAGAGGGAATTAGATAAGCATATGGAGCAGAGGTCCATCAGTGGATATTAGCCACAAGGTATAGATAGGAGCTCTGGGGCAAGGGATGCTCTGTGTTCTTGGTGCTTGGGGGGGTCAACAGTGGGAGGGCTTCTAATGTCCTGGCCCCACTGCTGGACCTCCTGATGGCACTGGTATTTCTGGCCACTGTGTGACACAGAGTGTTGGACTGGATGGGCCTTTGGCCTGATCCAACATTGGCGTCTCTTATGTTCTTATGTTCTTTGCAGGATTTGTCACACCCTGAATACTCCCTGTTTGAACTGCTGCCTTCGGGTAGAAGATATAGGACAATTAAAACAAGGACAAACAGATTAAAAATTAGTTTTTATTCGAGAGCTATTATTGCTTTAAATGCTGTCTGAAATTGGAATTTGGGTGACATTGGTGGTTTAAGTTGCAATGTGAACCTTAAGGGAGTTATGGGATGGTTGTGAATTGTTGTGTGAGTGTATATGAGTATGGCTGTAGATCACTGAAATGATTGCACCTTTAATTTCATTGTACTATGTACACTGACAATAAAGTATATTATTATTATTAATATTATTATTATTACACTTCTTCAGATGCATAGGAATGGAAGTTAATGCCTCTATATATGAAACATTAATTTCCATTCCTATGTATCTGAAGAAGTGTGCGTGCACACGAAAGCTCGTGCCTTGAATAACGTTTTTGTTGGTCTTAAAGGTGCCACTGGACTCAAACTTTGAAGTCTGGAGATCAGTTGTGATTTGGAAGGTCTCCAGGCTCCTCCTGGAGGTTGGCATGAGAACATAAGCCAATGTTGGATCAGGCCAGTGGCCCATCCAGCCCAACACCGTCACACAGTGGCCAAAAATACCAGGTGCCACCAGGAGGTCCCACCAGTGGGGCCAGGACACTAAAAGCCCTCCCACTGTGCCCCCCCCCCCAAGCACCAAGAATACAGAGCATCACGTGCCCCAGACTGAGAGTTCCTGTCTCAGTCTAACTAGCAACCCTAGTTAGAACTGATCTCAAGGCTTCAGAGATTAGTTCCCCTGGAAGAAATGGGCGCTTCGGAGGATGAACTGTGAAGCAACACATGCCTGCCCTCCCTAAGTTCCACACCCCAAATCTCCAGGAGTTGCGCAAGCCAGAGTTGGCACCCTACATCAGTCACTTGGGTCCTCCCAGGTGTCTTGAAAATAGTGTTTCTTGCTTCACCTGGTTGACCTGTGTTACTGCTATGATACACATACTTGATATAGACTCAGCCCCTCAACTCCAGTGCTTAGAAAAAGCATCTTGTGAATCCTAGATTTGTGATACTTACGTGCCTATGTGCTTAAGGTGCATATGCACCCTTTTGCTTCTGTTTCAGTCCAAACACAGACCTGCAAATTAATGAGGAGCTTTTGTTTTCAGGTTCAGCTTTTGGAAGGCTTTCTAAGGGAGATATGGATAGATGCACCGAGGTTAAATCGCTACTGAAAAAATGGGAGGCTTTGTTTCTTCAAGAGCACCAGAGGAGACCAAACAAGGTATGTGAAACACACTGTTGTGAACAGAAGAACATAAGAGACGCCAATGCTGGATCAGGCCAAAGGCCCATCCAGTCCAACACTCTGTGTCACACAGTGGCCAGAAATACCAGTGCCATCAGGAGGTCCACCAGTGGGGCCAGGACACTAGGAGCCCCCTCCCACTGTTGCCCCCCCCCCAAGCACCAAGAAGACAGAGCATCACTTGCCCCAGAGCCCCTATCTGTACCTTGTGGCTATTAGCCATTGATGGACCTCTGCTCCATATGCTTATCTAATTCCCTTTTGAAGCTAATAGTAGCAGCCAGAGAGATCTTCAGAGCCGTATCTGATGAATTTGTATATTTTTCCCTAGGCTGATGTTGAAGAAGCTCCTGAAGAGATTAAAAGTAAGAGTTTATCTACTCTACTTTTTTATGCAGGGAGAGAAGGGGTGCATTGCCGGAACTGGTTTAATCAACAGGGCGATGTTTGTTGGTTTGGCTTGTCATTCAGATAAGTGGCTGCCCAGGGCCTCTTGCACGCTTACAGTTTTCTGCTATGTTAAGGAGAATGTAGGAACACTTTCTTGGAAGTAAGCCCAGCTGAGTAAAAGGGACTTAACTTCTGAGTAAGTGTGCTTAGGATTGCTTCCCGTGTCTCAAACCCTGTAAACTATTGACCATTGAAAGTCCACATTTCTGCAAGCGGAATAAATTGGCACTGCTCATTTAGAGTGTGAGCACATGGAGCTGCCTTATGAGGTCCATGGTCCATTGTGGTCAGTATTTTCCACTCTGACTGGCAGCAGCTCTCCAGGGTCTCCGGCCGAGAAAGGTCTTTCCAAAGACCTGCCACCTGAACCGTTTCAGTGGAGATGCTGGGGACTGAGGAACCTAGGACTGTCTGCATGCAAAGATGCTCTCTCACAGAGCTACAATTAATTATCTTTTGTAGATGTTAATGTCTGCAAAATTGGGCTTTGCTGCTGTTTGAGAAAGGATGCTGGATTTGGTGGTGTTATGTATTAAGATAGCCTCGCAAGCGCTAGCCTGGCCATGCGCTCAAACAGACCTTCGGGTCTAGCAACAGTAGACTAGTCGGATCCTGACGCGGATCAATGGGGTCGCACGGATCCTGGTATGGACCTAGGGGGACTGGGTAGTGTAAATAGAGCCTATCATGAGGAGTGTGTGTGTGTGTGTGTGTGTGTGTGTGTACGGATAAAAGCCGGTCACAGACCAGCTAGTTTGTCTTCTAGTTCGGAGTAGTAAATAAACTATGAGCTGATCACTACGCCACGTGTCGAACTCAGTACTTTTCAGTGGACTCCAGAGCTTGTTTCAGCTGGTGATTCCCTAGAGAGCTCAGAAGCTGTTCTTACCTGTGGTGGGGTTATTTTCTTTGGCACAGAATTGTACAGAGAGTACAAAACGCTGAAGCAAGACAGAGGCCCTGAATCGGAAGCGATCAGCGAACAGAGAACACAAGATCCTCTTGCTGCTGAACAGGTAGCAAAGGGGTATTTGCCTTTTGGGAAGGTTAATTCTGAACTTGCAGATAAAAGTTTTCCCTTGACTTGATTCATTTGATTTGGATTTTTTTTCCAAATTAACCCCCTTTCACTTTCTTCTGCAAGGAGGAATAACAGTTACTATACCATAGTTTTGTAGCAGTATTCAGAGATTATTAGCACAGCAGCTGGGCTGTGAATGAGCATCATGGCCTGTCTGAATGGGGATTAGGACCTGGATTTATTTCTTTATTCTCCTCTCCTCCATTTTATCCTCACAACAACCCTGTGAGGTCGGTTAAGCTGAGAGTGTGTGAGTGGCCCAAAGTCACCCAGCAAGCTTCCATGACAGAGTGGGGATTCGAATCTGAGCCTCCCAGTTTCTAGTCTGATACTGTACCTCTACAATACCCTGGCTCTCTAGAAGAAGAGAAGAGAATGGATTTATACCCTGCCCTTCACTACCCAAAGGAGTCTCAGAGCGGTTTACAAACTCCTTCCCCTTCCCACAACAGACACCCTGTGAGGTAGGTGGGGCTGAGAGAGCTCTGATAGAAACTGCTCTTTTTCAAGGACAGCTGTGCCGGAACTATGGCTTGCCCAAGGTCACCCAGCAGCTGCAAGTGGAGGAGTGGGGGGATCAAACCTGGTCCTCCCAGATCAGAGTCTGTGCACTTAACCACTACACCAAACTCTAGAAGTAGGGTTGTCTACATCTGCTTCCAGTGTTCCAGCCCTTATATGGCACTAGGCCTGGAATTATGCAGATGCTTGCACAGCCTTCTTAGGCAGATACTAGTATTATTCTCTGACCAATTAACATCTCTGCAGTTGTCTTTTACAGACATGCAACTATATCTCACAAACATGAGAGGCAGAAGCTTGTTGTTTCCTTTCGTAAGTTTCTCAGGAACCAAATTTGGCGCCAGATCCAGAATCTATAAAATTACAGCCAGATGTTTTCCAATTTTAGCTTTAATCTGCTGCTGTCTCTCTTGTCTAACACTGTTCAATTTTAACACTGTTTAGTTTTAAACTTGATGCAAAGAGCTGGAATTGAGAAACTTTGCCATCAATCTTCTGTGCAGCTACTCCTTTCTAAACAGATGTAGAAACTTTGGTCTCCATAGCCCACCAGTTACATTGTTTTCTATCTCTCTCCCTCCCTTCCTCATAAATACATATATTTTCCAAAGCCACCTGACTCAGGTTCTTGGGGTGCACACCTGAATCGAAGCAAGATGGTTCCTAAACTGACCCCACAAGACCGAGACGCGCTCCAACTTTCTGTGCAGTATTTTGGGATGAAGCTGAAACACAACTTGGGAACAGCGATTAAGGTTTGTGGAGTGAGTGACTAGCATTGCAGTCTATAGCAGAGTAAAACCCTTGTAAGCCCCCCGACTCTGCTTAAAATTGCACTGTAATTATAGGCTTGAGCACACTTTGGATTCAGCAGTAGCTTGAGGAAGGATGTTTGTGGTTCATCCCTCTCCGTTATTCACCTCTAAACTTGATGAGCATACGCTTAACTCCATTAGCGAGATGAAGAACTGATCTGTTGTAAACTTTGGGTTCATTCCTCTTATTCTGGATATCTTGAACAGGGAGAATATTTGAGACTGAAGATCCTTTGAGGCTGGAAACCCTCAGACCCAAGAGGATCCTTAGTTTAAGTATCTGATACCAAATGTACAAGCTCATTCCTTAGAATACGGATACTTAGAATTGCTACCATACCCATACTCCCAGTCACACTGCTTAGAACTGAGCTCCAACCATACACATGAGCAGAATTAGTGGGGGGAAATATTTACCCTTTTGTAGCCTGATGGTTAAAGTGTGGCGAGTGTGCTAGATGATTTTTAATCTGTCAGGACACCTAGTTATGTCTTCCTAAAGCTCAATGAACTGGAGAAAAATGTTTTTAAAAAGGCCTCCCATGTGAAAGAATGCCTGGCTTTGAAAATTATAGGTATAGAGGTGCCGTGTATTTCTGGTGTAAAATAGGGGACTATATTGGGGGAATCGGGTTGCCAACACCCAGGTGGTATAGCAAGTGAGGGGTTGCAGTACAAATAGCCAAAGATGAACAAAAAGTACTGCAAGGTGTGCAGACATGTAATAATAATTATTAGTAATGCGTCAGTACAAAAGTACTAAATTGCAGTAATACAACAATTGTTTTGTGTCGTTACAGATGATGTGACGAAATTCTCCGGAGTATCTTCTGTTTCGTAAGAACTTCTTCCAACATCAAAAATTCATCAAGATGTGCCTTCATTGATTCATAGACATTCCAAATGGATTCAGCGATTTTCACAAAATGGAGTAGTATCCATTCCTGATACCCTTCAAACCATAATACAGAATGCGGGCTAATTATGGTTTGAAGAGTATCAGGAATGGATACTACTCCCTTTTGTGAAAATCGCTGAATCCATTT